AATAAAAACAGACCCTATAATATTAAGTCTTCTTATACTAGGTGGTGATAAAATGATAAGTTTAAGGTCCTGTGGTTTAAACACAAGGGTTTTTTTTTTTATTTGTTTTCTTTTTTTGGCTAGGCAAACATACCTTTTATCCTTTTTTCATAAATAATATATCTCTTTGTCAAAAGACCTAAACAACAGTAACCAATAAGGCAATTAAAGATAGAAAGCAGGGATTGGCAAACCATGTGTGTGTTTATGCACACACATATGTACATATATGTACATATGCAGTATATAAATACAATAAAACTTTATTCAAAAATGTAAAAACCATTCTGAGCTCAGAGGTTGTACAAAAAGAGGCTGGGGGTCAGATTTGGTGTTTGCACCATAGTGTGCCCACCCCTGAAAAACACAGAGCTATCTTTTAAAATTATATAAATATCTAAGTGCTCTTTTTTTCACTCGTTAGTTACTCGTTAATCCTCAACTCAAATTAATCACAGCTTAATCTAATGCTATTCTTTGTCCCAGAAAAGGTTCTTGCCCCTTCCAGGGGCACCACTGGGACTTCTGGGCAATTGGGTATCATGAGTCCTTGCAGCTGGTTCTCTTAGCAATTCGCTATGGCCACTCCAGCTATGGAATCATTCTGGGGACCACCCTCTTTCATTCTCTTCTGCTGTTATTACTCACAGATTGCCTCAGAGTCCTCATTCCTCCCTTCTATGGGGAAAAGGAAGAGAAATGAAGGAGCTGCCTAGAGATGGAAGCAATGCTCTAAGGGAGAATAAAAAGCACATCCGTAAGGGAGAATAAAAAGCACAGTCTCCAGCACACAGTAAGTGCTTAATAAATGCTTGTTGACATGACTTGACTAAAACATCCTATCATCCAATGGTTACTGCCTGTGGTAGCTGCTTGCCAGATAGAATGTGAATCTACCAAAAAGTAATATTTTGGCAATAGCAGTTTTTTTTGCAAAGCATTATTATAAATCTTATAATAAAATAGAGCATTTCAAATAAAACATTTAAACAAGGTTTTTGAATGCAGATGTAACTGGTCTCTGCTTTTCTCAAGTTCCTACACATGTGATACTTTGTCTTAGATTCCTCAGTGGAAGAAAACATTTTAGTTATTCAGCTATGTATGTGCAGTGAAAGGGTGGCCCTAAGATTTGGAAAGGGGACATTCACCTTTGTTGTTGGCCCATGACTCAGTAAACATGGATTCTACCAGGGCTCTTCCAATACTTCACTTGTCTGAAGTAAATTTAATAAAGGTAAACTGAAGTACATACTCTCAGCAAAATCAGTTTATTACAGTGATGCACAAAACTGTAAACAAAGCAGGTCAGACTGGTCACCTTAATAAAGCCAGCTACCCCAATGAGAAGGAGGGAGCCCTCTTTATTGACACACAAGAAAGAAGGAGTCTTGGTAGTTGTGGAACATTATGACCAGCCGTGGGCTGGCATTCAGGTGAGGCTATTCACACCTCTCTCTGACAATTAAGATATGTTCATTGTTTTTATGGGACCCATCTGCATCTTGCAAACTTTGCTAGGGGATCAAAACTACCAGACTTACTGTCTCCTTGGAAGAGATAAAATCTCCCCTAAATTCACAAGGATTGTCAAGGACAGACAGCACATCTTTTGGGGATGGTACCAAGCTAACTTGTGGAGCTTAAAGATGACAATCAGATATTCTGATAGTATTCCTAGGGCTACTGGTATGAGATGAAAACTTTTTTTAAAATTATACTTTTAAACTAACTCAAGGAAAGTTGAATTCTTGAGCTTAACTCAAGAATACAGCAATGCGGCTTTAGGCAGATGTAGACTCAGTTACAAAATTAATACATCATAGAATCAATTATATGGTAGAATCAAGACAAGTAGAAACTCAAGGTGATACTAATTTTGATCTTTTCCTAGTAAAGATACCTGGGCTTTTCATTATCTGCAAAATGAGGCTTATGCCAATACTACCTTCCTTTCCACCCTTCTTTACATGCTCCAGGTGATGACTTGAGGCAACATGCATAGACCTTTCAAAAATTCACTAAGAAAGACACCTAGCTAAGAGCTATTTTTAGATTCTCTGGTTAGCATTTTTTTCCAAGGATCCATAGTGTCTCCCCATGATAGACCTGATGGAACTAGCCACTGTACTTGCTGCTTTTTGAGGAACCACAGAATTCTTATTCCCCATTTCATGTTGCTAAGAAGTCTCTTGGCTTACAGTACCAAGTGCACACCCACCAAAAATGTCTCCACAAACATGGGATGCTCTACTCCAAGCAGCAGCCAAACTCTACCATAATCACCTCCTGATCACCAACAATGGTGAAGGAGGGAAAAATGGATAAAACCCTCAAATAATCCAAAGACTTCTTGCCTTTCCTCCCAACTTCCCTTGCTGCCAAAACTTTTACCATCTCTGCCAACAAATAAAAAAAGAATTGGCAGCTCAGATCTTAGCATCTTTCATTTGTCTTATTCAACTCTGATGAAGGTTTGTATTAACAGTGAAATGGTTCCAGAGTGGAGAGGACAGTTGTGGAGAATTATCTCATGAAAAAGCAGATGCATTATGTAATTCAACTAAATCTGTCATTTTTAAGTGCTTTCCTGTCTAGCTTCCATACCCATTTTTTGAGGGTCTCAATGGTTGAAGCAATGGTGTGGTGGAAATAGCACTGGTTTGCGAGTCTGAGGTCCTGAGTTCAAATTCCAGCTCTCCTCCCTGCTAGTTGCCTGATTGCAGACAAGTCATTTTATTTACCCTTCTGGGTCTCAGTTTCCTGACCAGTAAAAGGAGTGGCTTGGACTAGATGACCAGCTCTACATCGATGTTCCTTTGCTCTGCTACACATATACCTTGTTTGTTTTCATACATACTCATCCTCTAACCTTCCCCCATACGATGTAGTTTGAATGACTGATTGTAGTTTTAATGTGGTGTTTCCCAGGGGCCCAGAGACATGCCCAAGAGACCACTCTCCTTTGTAAAACATTAGACATTGTCTGTGCCTTTGCTACAACAGTGCAAAGACATTTTTTTTTCTTCTTATATCTGTGATTCCAAAATGCCTCCTTTGAAACCCTAATATGGTGAGCACCATGGCGAAGGCTACCATGTGAGTGAGCACCCTTGAGATAATCTGTTGCTCTCAGTCACGCTGGTTTAAAAGGGCAGCCAGGCACAGTGATAATGATGTTACTGTTGTTGCTGCTGCTAGACATAATAACTTGTATTTATAAAGCACTTTACAGTTGCAAAGGGCTTTGCCATCATTAACTCATTTGATTCTCACAATAACCCTGGCAGCCAGCTGGCAAAAATCTTCCTTTTGCCAGTGTGCTGATGAGAAAGTAATGGCCAGGAAAGGTTAAGTGGTTTGCCCTAGGATGGATGGTAAAGATGCTAGAGCCTTCCCTTCTAAGGTTATTTTCCATCTGCTCTGAATGTAACTTTTATGTTATTTATTTATTACCGAATTAATTACACACTCTCTCCCAAATTCAGTTGTAACATCCTTGAGGGCAGGGACTATTTTTGCCTCTCTTCGTATCCCCAGTGCTTAGCATGGTACTTGGCACATAGTAAGTGCTTAATAAATGTTTGTTCATTGATTGATTGATTGATAGTAGATCCAAGATTTAAACTCAGATCTTCAGATTCCAGTGCTTTTCTCCCTACACTATGCCCAGATCAGCAACAGATTTTAAACAGTTTGCAGAATATAAGTGCAAGGAAGTTGAGGAGGGGGGGAAGGTGTTGGGGGGAGAAGGAGAAGGAGAAGGAGAACAGACTAGGAGAAGAAAAAGGATATTTACTGAGAAGTTTTTGTGTCAACACCAACTTAAATAAGGCATATGATAAGCCTTGTTTTTCTCTAATTATACATACAGTTGTGGTGGTGATCTGTTTTATGTGACATTTGAAGAATACTTTTTCCCCCCATCATATCCTACTGACATAGAGTAATATAGGATAATAAAAAGGGTTTTGGGCAAATATGGTCAACTTCTTTTTTAGGTTATAAATATTAAGCCATTCTGATTATGAAATCATAATGCTTTCTCTTCCATACACATGGCCCCAAAAGCATCTGCTTTTATTATTATTGATATTATTATGGCTATTTTGTCCAGATTTGTTATTTAATTGGTATAGGTATTAAATATATACAGCTCCTTGAAGGCTGGGACTATTTTTGCCTTTCTTCAGATCCCCAATGCTTAGCATGGTACTTGGCACATAGTAAGTGCTTAATAAATGTTTGTTCATTGATTGACTGATTGATAGTGGATCCAAGATTCAAACTCATATTCAATATTTAACTGGCATATTCACATTGGTTTTCCAGTGGGGAACCTCCCTTTGTCAATGCATGTCAACACCTACTCTGCAACTTACAGTCTTAGAGAGTTGCCTATGACCCAAGGAAGTTAATGACTTGTCATGGGTCATACAGATTGTATATATTAGAGATATAACTCAAACCCAGATCTTCCTGATGCTAAATCTGGCTTTCTATCCACTAGGCAACATGGCCTCTCTTTAAATTTATAATATCGAAGGAACACACACAAGCAAAACTGAACCATGTTGACTAGGGAACCAAAAGTTTGGAATTGTGTTATGCCCCAGGGAAAACTGTTTTATCTTGCTCTGTGCCTCAGTTTCTCCATGTGAAAGAAAGAGAAGAGACCTACCTTATGAGAATGCTGCTGGGTTAAACATGAGGAATAATGAAGGTTAATGAAAAAATGTCTTCATGAGTATCAGAAAATGACTACCTCCTAGCTCATTGCTGGAATGTGGATTGCTTCTCTGACACTTATTGTTTATTATAGGGTAACACAGTCTAAAGGACGATCCTTGATGCTTGATTGTTTTCTCTCTGGCCTCGGGGCAGCTGCCTAGCCTCTTGGGGTCTGTGCAAAGTGGAGGAGGGCCAGGCGACAGGAATGGAAAGCCCTCCTGGAGGGTTACCTTCACAAACTGCACATCACTGAGGATGTGGACTGAGTAGTCAGGCGTGTAGAGGTTGTTGCTGCTGTACAGCTGGGTGGTGCTGCCCCCATAGTCACTGCGCTCTCGGTTTGGAGACTCAGAGCGGTTCAACCCACTGCAGCGAGAAGGGGATCGGTTTACTGCAGATATTGACAAAGGAGGAGAAAGAGGAGGAGGAAGAGGAGAGGGTGAAGGAAGAAGGGGGAGAAAAGATGGAGGTGGGGTAGGGTGGAGGGAAAGGGGTGGAAAATGGAAAAGAGACAAAGAGAGGCGTTTACTGAATACCTCTGGACTTTTAAGCAATGGTCACACTGGGTAGTGCTAATATGCCCCTTGTACTTTCCACTCAACCTGAGCACAATCTTGGGGGAAGTGTCAGATTATTTATACAAGGGGTCAATAGCCTTAGAGAGGAAACCCCTGACACAAACAACTGAATGGGTAAATATTCTTTTCCTTTTTTTCATGCTCCTTTCCTTTACAACTTCTAAAGAGAAGAAGTTGGGGCATTTTGTCAGGAAGGATGCTGAGGCTATCCACAGGACTGCAATCATCCCTTGTTGGTTTCATGTAGCTGCAAAGAAGGACCAGAATAAGAAGATGAAAGACAGTGCTGGGAGTACTAATTGCCTTACAGGACCAAGCGATTTATTTATTAACTGGAATGAATCTTATACCAGGTGTGGCACTGAGGTTCTCACAGACCCATCATTCCCAGCATACAGAATTGCCAGCTTCCCAGTGACTGATCATTTGGTTATGGTTACCCACAGGCCTCCTGTTCTAATCCCCTGATTTCACTGGCTCCTAACTTTCCAGGAGATCTCCATAAGTTTCCTATGCAAAGATACGTTTATTGGGGGGTGGGGGATAGGGACTGGACCTGTGATCTCACTGATATAGGGAACTCCTTGGTATAGAAACCTCATGGACCAATACAGGTCAGCACCATCTGTACAACTTCTAAGACAAAAAACTGCCTAGAGAGCTGAGAACTTAAGTGATATACCCAGGATCATGCAGTCAATATGTATCGGGGCAGGACTTGAACTCAGGTCTTGGCTTTAAGACCAACTCTCTACCCACTTGTTACACTACCTCTCTTGCTGGGGAACTCCAAGAAAAATGGGCAGCTAGGTGGCCCAGTGGATGGAGCATATGACTTGGAATCTGGGTGACCTGTGTTCCAATTTTGCCTCAGACACTTACTAACTGTGTGACCCTAGGCAAGTCACTTAATCCTGATTGCCTCCAAAAAACAAAAACAAACAAAAAAATAAAGGAAAAGAAAATATAGTCAGTTGGTTTCAAAACTAGCTTCTTTGATCTAAGTATTCATTGTACTTACCATTGCAAAGTCACCCAGAAGGTGACAATAATTATAATAGCTGGCATTTATGTATCATTTTAAGGTTCACAAAATACTTTACAAATATTTCATTTGCTCTTACTGTATTGTGAGATAAGTAGGTGCTATTATTATTCCCATTTCATAGAAGACAAACCTGAGGCAGTCAGAAGTAAAGTGATTTGCCCAGGGTCACATAGCTAGTAAGTGTCTGAGGCAAAACTGGAACTCTCGTCACTCAGAATCTAAGACATGTGTTCTATCCACTGTGCCACCTAGAGAGCTGACTTCTGCAGGTGGCTCTCAGATTTTCTCAACTATGAACTTTAACAAATATTACCTTGATGCCTCAAGATAACACAGAGGTGACCCTGATTTGTCCAAGGCTAGGCAAGCAGAGCATAAGCTCTGGCTATGCACCTGCTGAAGGGTCTGCTGTCCAAGGCCCAGACTATCTGACTTAAGAGAACCTTGTCACCAGAAAGTTGGCCACAATCAATCTAGTTTTTAGCTATAGCTACTTAGGAGGACTGTCTACTGTGGTGTAAGAGGACTTACAATCTGCCTCAGTGGGGACCTCATGAAAGTGCTGACGTGTAAAGCAGCCCACACAAGATAAGGCAAGCCTTTTCCCATTTCCATCTGAAGTCTATCCTTGAGCTCTCCCCAAATGACTGTCAAAGAGGAGAGGGTAGCAGCTTACAATGAGGGGCATTTATAATGTGGACTAAGGAGTAGAGCAATCAGAAGCTTGTGGACTCTGGTTCTAGTTCTACTGATGATTAATCTTGGGAAATTTAATTCCTGTATCCCAACTCACCAAACGATGAGTGAGGGTGGTCATCATCCAATTAAAATGTATATTGTATCGAGTACCTACCATGTACAGGAGGTTAGCGCCTTGATGAAAAGGATTTGAATCCATCTTACAAAACATGCACCAGAAGTAATAGTAAAGTGCAGTCTGAGTCCCTTTCTTAACCACACTCTTACACTCACTAACTGAGACACATGTCATTTAAAGGCATCAGCTCTAAAGCCTTGGACCCAATGGAAACAAGCAGGTCATTCTCCTAGAGTGAATATCTTGGGGCAAAACTGGGTTCCTGTGACCATGAGGCCTTCAGGGCCTGAATGGCTCATGGGTAAAGACCTAGGATTTCCCTGAGATGTGACTTAGAAACTTCTAAAGAGGGCTGTCCTTGGCAAAGGAAATTATCACAGGCCTTTGTTGTTGTCATATCCAACTCTTTGTGACCCTATTTGGGGTTTTCTTGGTAAAGATACTGGATTGGTTTGCCATTCACTTCTCCATCTCATTTGACAGATGAGAAAACTGAGGCAAACAGGGTGAAGTGACCTGCCCAGGGTCACACAGCTCATAAGTGTCTGAGGCCCTGTTTGAACTTAGGAAGAGGAGTCTTCCTGACTCTGGGCCCAACACTCTGCGCACTATGGTGCCGTGTATCTGGACGATCACTGGCCTAGGAACTTGGATGAAGGTCAGTCCCGTAGATGTTTTCCCGACCTTAATGGCATTTTCCTCTCTCACTGGATGAAGGTAAGCTAGATGTTTCTTTTAAGGCTTAATTTCCCCTCCCCATCTCCCACTTCCTCCTCTTGTAATCCTTGATTTCCTTCAAGACTCAGCTGGAACACCACCTAGTGCATGGAAGCTTTTCTGTTGGCTGTTAGGGCTTTCCCCTCCATGACTGCCTGACAGCTGCTTTGTATCCACCTTTAAATGAGCAGAGGCAGCAGGGTTTAGTGAAGAGAGGGCTGGCCTCGAAGCCAGAGAAACTTGGCACAACCTTTCACTGACCTACCTTCACTCTAAGGCTACAAAGTTTCAGAGAAGGTGCTGATTTTCCTTAGTAGAGGGAGTTCTTCATCTGGGAGTACCTATACTAGTGAAATCATTTCTGTCTTTGTATCTCTAGCATCTAACACAGTGCCTGGAACGTAATAGGTACTTGTTAATAAGAGCTAGAAAACACATACATATATAAACACAACGTATGTGTGTGTGTGTATGTGTGTTCTTATTTGATCTCACAACTGCCCTGTGAGGTAGGGCTATTATTATCCCCATTTTATAGATGAGGAAACTAAATCTGAAATAGGTTGTGTCTTGCCCAAGGTTACACAGCTAGTAACGGTTTGAGGCAGAATTCAAACTCATTTTCCTGACTCCAAGTAGCTGCCTAATAAATTCGAGGCTCATCACCAGACTGGAAGAAGGGTAATGATATGTTCAGCCACAACAGCTCTTAACAACCATCTACAGAGTTATGGAGGAGCCACAATCTGCCCCGGAGGAAATCCCCCAAACCAACGAGATCCTAGCTCCCCAAAGGGCTGGGTACAACTCCTTCTCACCTGCTTAACTTAGTGATGATTATAAGGACTGAGGGGAGCAGCTCATTGGTTCTTAAGAACCAATTTACATTTATTTAGATTTAGATTCAGAGTTCAAAAGGTCATTTAGGTAGGAAGTGCCTGAGATAAGATTTGAACCCGGATCCTCTGACTCAGAAGTCAGTTTTCTTTCCACCGTCCCATGCCGCCTCTCTAACAAGAGAGGGGACTGGGATGTCGGAGGCCATTTTCAAGGGTGCCATCAAAACAACAACTCGTATTAATGGCAGAGACATTCAGCAGAAAAACATTTATTACTTCATTTTCTGCTCTGCTCCCCAGTCATGACTGGTTCCATAGTGACCCGTGCTTATGTCTCCCCCTAACTCAGTCTTGTGTAATTGTGGAAAGTAGGGCAATCTGTCCGGGAGAAGCCTCTCTTTCAGGGTGGTATCTGGATCTAAAGCACCAGGCTCAGCTGAAGGGTCCTAACCCCAACTGATATGTACACAGCCAATGGGGAAACAGGGTGTGTTGGGGGCAATGCCTTTAGAAACCTCTCAATCTGCTTGATAACCTCTGGCTTTTGCTATGTTAATATGTGACTCACCCAACCATAGGTTAGGAAGGGCACTGGGCTAGGTGTTGCTTCTTTACCTCTTGGTTCATAATAAGAGAGATGTAGTATTTCCTTCTTCTGAGAAGGGACAGAGTTGAACAGGCTGATCTCCCATATCCTTTCTGGCTCTAAAAGAACTCTTTCCACTTGCTTCTGTGGCTACTACTGGTCCCAACTCTTTTCTCTCTGTAAACAGGGAGAGGTGGTTGCTCCATTCCCTACCATCTCCTACCACCTCCCCTTAAAAGATTTTCTGCCCTGTGACTCTGGGAGGTAGGACCGACACATTGTGGAACCAGAGATCAGGGTGATGTTATAACCCAAGTCATATGTGGTAGATGGGCAGCAGCACCCACCTCCAGTTATAAAACAAAATTCAACAGACTGTTGACTTGTCAGCAATATCATAGAGGGGACCCTTGGTGAGGTTTGGGTTGGACTATATCAGAAATTCGTAACCTGGTGTCCATTAACTTATTTTTAAAAAGGTATTTTGATAACTGCATTTCTGTATTATTAGTTTCTTTGAAATTCTATGGATTTTATTTTATGCATTTAAAATATGATTCTGAGAAAAGTTTCATTGGTCTAGGCAGACTTCTAAAAAGATCCATAACACAAAATACAGTTAAGTATCAGTGGTTTCTGAGTTCTCTTCTAACTCTTGGACTTTGTAAGCGTGAAGCAAGGCATGGACTGATCAAATCTCTGAGATCAGAGGGCCAGTCCTCCCTCTCTCTCTCTCTCTCTCTCTTTTTGGCTAGGCAATGGGTTTAAATGACTTGCCCAGGATCACACAGCTAGTAAGTGTCAAGTGTCTGAGGCCAGATTTGAACTCAGGTCCTCCTGACTCCAGGGCCGGTGCTCTATCCTCTGCGCCATCTAGCTGCCCCTCTTTTTATTTTTTTAAAGGCATAATTGCTATCTACTTTTCTTTTGTGGGGAAATTATTTTTAAGAAAAAAAAATGCTCCTTCTGATAAGACCGAGCCCCAGCTAGTCTAAATTCTGTGTAAAATCCTGTTTTGTTTCTCCAGTCTGACATTCCTCACTAGATAGAACACTGATGACTCTGCATTCTAAGTAAGTGTGTGCATATACTTAGGGACTTCTGAGCAAGGGACATGGAAATGCTTTTAACAAAAAGAAGAATCATGAGGTTATCATGATCATGAACATGGCAAACAATTTCACCTTTTCTAGTTCCCTTTGGTATTTCCTAAGAACACAGAGGCACAGACTCAGGAAATACAGGATGGAGTGAAAGCCTAGTACATTTCAAGGAGGATGGAATAGAACCCTGATCAAAGGTTTCAGTCAAAGGATGTCCAAGTCTGGGAGCCCTACCTATTATAAGCAGCTAGGGCTAAGTTGGTGAACATAACCTGCTATCACACACCTTAATGCTGGAAGGGAATTACAGAGGAACTTGTTATATGAAGTAGGAAAGGAAAGACTACCTGAGTTGGCTCTGACTAAAGGGGGGGGTGTGGGATCAAAAATCATGACAGGCACAATTGGTATGTGGACATGGATGAGAATTCTTCAGTGTTTTGGAAGTTCTCCCCATCACAGTTAACAGGTAGGAACTCTAAGACCCCACGGCAATTATGACTCCTGCTTTAGTTGTAGCACCTGTATCTACAAACCAGGAATGAGTGAAAATGAAGAAATTATGGTTCCTCCCAACTGTGTCCTGGGTATAGAATCAGTCAGTCCCAAAGCTTGGGTGGTACAGAGGTGGTACTTTCCCTTAGTGTACACGGATAGGGATGTGAAGCAGAAGTCTGAGATGATGTCCATTTGTTATTCCTGCGGGATCCTCAGTAGTGAGGCCCATGACCTATTAGTGATCACAGTTGCTGACAAAATTTGTAGAGGGGATTCTTGGGTCAGGAAACTGTTGGACTAGATGATCTCTGAGTTTCCTTCTAATTGAGATAGGAACAGAGACAGAGTCAGAGAGATAGACAGAGATAGAAACAGACTGAAAGAGGGAGAAAGAAAGGAAAAGAGAGATGGGGGAGGGAGAGAGACAGAAAGAGAGAGAGACAGAGACAGAGACAAACAGAGACAGAGACAGAGAATGAATTGAATTTGGCTATTGTCATTGAGCTATGCCTTCTCTTTGCCAAAATTATTGGGACTGCATATAGCTACATGACCCTGAAAGAGCAAAAGTTAGAATTTTAGGACCCATTATTTGGTAGCACAAATATGCAGAACTGGAAAAAGAATCTGCCAAAACCTTTGGTAAAGCAACTTCTGGCCATAATCTAAATTCTTCAAGTTGATCCCAGTTATGACCTTAGATCAAATTGTTCACATGCCAGTGTTCACTCTAGCAGAACTGATGAAAACAGGAACATTTCCACTGACCATATTTCACAAAAGAAAAAAACACATTTGTTTTAGGCTGCTCATGTACTCAGAGAAAGTGCTAATTAATAACATTTTACCTGAGGATTTCAAAGCACTGAATCCAGTCTTGGGAGAAAAGATCTAGTCCTGAAAGCTGTTAACTTGCCCACAGTCACATGGTTATTATTGACCAGAGACAAGCCTTGAACCCAGGTATCCAAAAAGAAACTTAAAATTCAGTTGTCTGCCTCTCCTGAAAGTTCTGTTTTTGTTTTGTTTCCATAAGGCTCTGCATCAGTGAAGGACTCACATCTGTCAGAGATAGATACTCTTCAGGACAGGAAAAGAAAGGGTAAATGACTAGGAGGGGCAATGACATTGCAGAAGGTTGTGGGGCCCATACAACTCTAGCAGGGGCATGAGAATGTCTGATCTTGATGGATTTCCAAAAATATATGTAAATTTTTACACCACTCTACACCATTCTTTCTCAACTCAAACTCTTAACTCAAAGAGAAACAAGCATTATGAACAACATGAGCAACATTCTATGGTGTAACATTCTATGATGTGGCCATGAATGTCCTCATTCCAGACACTGGACCCACATCCTTCTGACATCAACTCAGCTGTACTTAGCGATAGTCTAAGAAGTGGAAAAGATGGTTGAGAATGCTAGATTCTCATACCATATGTGAGCAGGAGATTCATATAGGAGGAAAATTCATTTAAAAAAAAAAAAGAAATGCTGTGCATATGTCAATCCCACCTTGCAAAGGGAAATAGCAAATGAAAATATAAGATAACATTTCCAGAGTGCTGTCAGTCCAAGAGGGAGACCAAATGGGAAGGAGACCTCTTTTTTATATAATCTATTGTTGGCCTCAGGTAGAAACATAGCAAGAGGGGTGATCAATTAGTACCTTCAGTAGGGGAGCCTAGATGCCCAGAAGAAGTGACTGGCTAAAATGAGGCAACAGGAAGGAAGGCTGGTAGGAAGAAAGAATAGCATTCCCACATTTCTTCCTGTTTTTCTTCGGTTACTGTCATCATTCCTTACTTCTGTTATATAGAGTGGGGGAAAAACAATTCATCCTGCTCCAACTGGATATCTCCCATTTCTTTCCATGTCTAGACATCTAAGATCCAAGTTAGGGATGAAGAATGGGGATGAAAAAAATGGGAAGGGAACCCACAGACGTGCATCAGCCAAGTGTTAGTGAAGAGATCTGTGCAAGTAAGAACCTGTGATTTGGAACCCCAGCCTGACCCTGATTGATTGTGAAGCTTGAACAGGAAAATGTTGATCAAACAGAATGTCTAGAGAATGTTTTAGTTAATAAAATTTTCTGGTTACCTGAGGGTTAAGCAGATAATCCTTTCAATTTCAGTCCTTGTTGATGAAAAGTCTAATCTCTGAGTTCACTTTTCTAATTTTCAGTACTCAGTATTCAGTGTTCTATGGTATTCAGTGACCTCCCTCGCTAATGTCTGAGATTCTTTCAGGGAATCCAGGGCATCCTTCTATGATGATAATCATAGGGCCTCTGGAGATAAAGAGGATTTAGAGATTGGGCTGAATATTAAGTAATCCCTGGGCATACTCTGGAATCTGAAAGTTTGTTTGTCATTTGCTTCTTCACCCGCCCCGCCAAAAAGTCCAGTCCATTAAGATTTCTGATGAACTGGATTCTGGCTGATCAAAGTTTTACTGAACCGTGTACTTATAAGGTTTTACTTTATTTGCAAAAAAGTGATAAGCACAATAATGTTTAATTATTTTATAGGAGACATGGAATTAATTGGAAAAGTTGCTCCAAGGTTTTTTGTTTTCTTTTTGGTCTGAACCTGTGATGTTATTGGTTCAGGGAACTGCTAAACTTCCTCCATCAGTGTGAATCAGGAACTCTCCTGAGACAGGAGCTTCATTCTGGCATAACCTAAGGCAACAGATGCTCTGTGAATACAGAGGGTTGCCTGACAGGCTGAATGATTTACCACAGTTACATAGCTAGTAGGTGTTACAAGCATGTCTTGGACACAGGTTCTCCTGACTCCATATCCATTATGGCAGGTTACCTAGAGTAGCTTTTCTAGGACTTTGTGTGTATTTCATAGATGTACTCTGTGGAGTTAAGTTCTTGAACAACATCATTATACTGGTAAATCCTGGACTACATTATACTGTTAAATTCTGAGTTGCACATGTAAATTATTATATTTTTGCATGTACGAGTATGTAACATTCTATGGTGTAACCATGAATGCACTCAATCCAGACACTGGACCCACTTCCTATCCTGGCACAGAGGTACAGACCAGCTCCTCATACAAGGCAGGCCAGGGCAACCAGTGCCTTTCAGTCCCCTAAGTTCCACAGTGTCCCCTGAGACAGCCATGCACGATTACCTGGGGAGCCTGCCAAGGATTCCCCTCTGCTGAAGGCGAAGGTACGGGACACTGAGACAGGCACTAGAGAGGCAGTGGTCAAGGAGATGTGGGTAGAAGAAAGGAAAGATAAACACAAGGAGAAAAACAAAGGAAGAGGAAAAAGTGTAAGACAGTCTGTTCCTAGAACTTCACAACATTACATTACTCTGTTTGAAGTAAGCCTGTGTCTGCATCCACTGATGACTCACCCTCAGCTAGAACCAATCTGCCCCCAAACAGAGAAATGGAGAGGGGATTGTCATGGGAGCCCAATGGTTAGAGCTAGGTCTGCTACTACCATATTTTTAAATGAAGCCTTTGGCTTCTAGGTAAGTAAATAGGCCGTCTTCAATGATGTAAATAATCTTGGTGATTAAAGTGGAAATACCAACTATAAAAAAAGACAATGCCCTAATGGAAGAAATCTATGAGTAGAATCGTCTCTGAGGTTCCAATTCTGGGGCAGCTCAAACCTTAGCACCTTAACACTGAATTTTAGCTACCACACAAGTACTTCACTTCTCTTCCTAATTGAGGAAGCTCATACCATTTCTTAGAGTCTTGTAAGAAAAAAAGCAGCTACTGAAGATGGTTCCATTAAAGATATAAAATGAACACTTTTTGTAGCCCAGACAAGCTAGACAAAACACACGCCAGGCAAGTATCACCAAACAAACCCCCAATTCAATTAAGTTAAGCTAGAAGAGACCCTAGGACTCCTCCAGCCTGGCTACTGAGAAGGCTCTAACCTAGGCCACAGTTTACCTGGTCTAGGGGGAAGGAAGCTGCTCTCTATTAGGATCTTATCTTAACTAGTTACTCTGGGTAACTTGGTGCCAAACTCAGTTGTTTCCAAGTTTCTGAAGGGCTAAACATGCCCAGTGCCCCTCTTCTAAATTTTGACCCATTGGAGGCAGAGCCCTGATCACCTTGCCCTAGTTATATCTGGTACCCTTGCTTTTGCAAATAGTAACTTATGTGGGAAATATATTAAGTAGTTGTACACTCCTTGGATCTGAACTAGGAGCTCCCTCCCCATGGATAACAGTGCTATTTAATAAATAATGAAGGCTAGAGGCTGGGGTGGAGGAGCAATTCTGTAGCAGCCTTAATTCCATGCATCTACTTCCCAACAGGCATAAGAGCACTCCTTGTCCTCCCCTGCTCCACTCTTCTCTCCCCTTTTCATTTCTCCCTTCTTTCCCACAAAATTAAAGTGGGTCAAGGGAACCTAACTTGAGGCCTTTCCAGGAGTAGACTGGACATTAGCTACAGGTGAACACACATTGAAACTGACAGCCTCTACTTGCCAGAGCAATTAACCAGAGGTGAGTTAATCTTGAAGTCCTTCATTTCCACACTTGCAGCAACATTAAGGCTGCTTCAGGGGACAGGAGGGATGCAGTTAACATCAGAGTAATCGACATCTGAGATACTAAGTAGTATCTGATGGGGAAGCCAACTTCACAAATGGACTCAATGGTCTCCAAGACCCTTTCCAGCTCTACTCTATGAACCTATGATCTTATTAAGTTCATCATTGCACTATAAGCTGGCTTCCCAAAGGTAGAGGAGTCTTTTAGAAAGTCTCCTGCCCTATGACTATCAAGCAAAGTGAGGTTCCCTATCAAGCCTGATTTTGTATGATGGCCATGGGGCAAACTCTTCTGCCAGCTTGTCGTATTTAGTCCTTACCCTTATTGGCTGGTATGGTTTCAATCTAATCATGAGTCATAATATAGGAAACTACGCAAATCAAGGGCTCATCGACCAGTTCAATATGCATTATGATCCAACCAAAGCCTTTCCCATTTGGGTCACAGCTTGGCTTGTGAAGGGAGATGGCTTTGTTGGATCATATTCTCAGTGGACGCTTCCTTCTAAACAACCACCCCATAAGTAGGTTATCACCGACTTTGTTTGCATTTTATTCACTGGGTAGAGATTATTCACTAGCCTGTAAGTTTTTTTTTCTCCTAAAGGATTATATAAAGGGCTTTTGGTTTTGTTTTGGTGGGCTATGCATTTACCCAAATCAGTGGTGCATTGCTACTTGCTGGGACTTCACTGAGAAGAAGCAAAAGTTACCTGTCACACCAACACAACAGTGCCTTCAACAGTGACCGAAACTTTCATTCAGTCAGATAGTGTTGAGGATTATGCTTTTGCCTCACTCACCGCTGTTGTTGAAGAGGACCAAAATGACAATACGATTTTGATACTGGGGTCAATGATTAGACCAATGTGAACTCAGAAGGTACCACACAGGTCAGGCACAAATATACTCCTGCCTCACTAAATGAGTGGGATAATACTTTAAAAACTTTTAAAATGGGACAAAACTTTTAAAAATATAAGACAAATGAAAGGAAGATACTAGATGTATTATATCTTTTCTCACATGTTTTTGAGAGAATGAAAGTAGCCTGGGTTGATGGGAAGAGAGAGGATTCTGAACTAGTCTTCAATTCTCCTACCTATTCTGGAATTTTGGAAGTGTAATAGTTTTGGGAGATCTTTTTATAGCTCTTTAGATTTCTAAAGGTCACTCTTCCCTAAATTCCATAGTTCTTCAAGGGGAAGTGAGCTCTGGAGCTCACCCTAGGGGAAAAAAGTTCTTGTCATCTCTTCCTGGCTCTGCAGGTCTCCCTGAACCATTTACCACCCATTACAACTACACTAATGAAACCCAGGTGTCAATCATTCAACTCACAGAGGATTGGGAGTACTATGGTGTAGCTCCCACTGGAACATGACCTCACCCAGATGCACTGAAAGCTTTCACTGTGTTCCTACTTAATGATTCCACCTCCCTTAGCTGAAGACTTCCCCAATCACACTAAAGCTTTATGACCCTCACCTACCAAATTAAGCAAGACTGAAGTGTTCTGTCCTCATTTTAGGGATCTGCTACAGCTAGTGCTTTGCCATCAGCTCAGGGTGTGCCTATGGGAAGTTCACTTTCCTTTCCATTTCTGTTATGGCTGTGAAGTAAAATTATACAGCAAATGATTCTGTGAAAATTCAGTTTCCTGACGCAGAGTAAGAGACATAAATTCTGAATCTCCCTGATGCAGTATGAGCTAGTCAGGGCTCTGTGTTGGGACTCTAGTTCCAGCTGGGCTGTTGACTTTCTGTATGATTTCAGACAAATCACTTTTTCAATTTCTTCCTGTGAAGTAGGTTACATTACCCTGATTACTAATAGTAATGTAATAGTGATGTAATTCATAGCAATGTAAACACACACACAGAGGAATACACTCACCAGGAAATATGATAATCCAGTGCTTTGGGATCTTTTGATGAAAGTATAAAAACCAAGTGCTATTCTATTTTATGTTAAAAAAAAAACAAAGGAAAGGAAGAAAATGTCTTCCCTGGATATATAAATGGCTACAATGAGAGTCAATGGCCTAAAATAACACAAAATTTAGACTAGGGAACCCAAGAGCACACAAGAGAAAAATATGTCCTGGATCACATATGCCATATCCATGCACCTACTTCCAAATGTAAGAACTAAATGGACAAAAGCAGGCCAACAGTATGGAGAGAAGACAAGTAGCCACCATGTTATTTGCAGCTTAGCAGCAATCAGCCTCCTATCAGCAATGCCCAGATTGCATGCACTTCCCAATAGAAGGCACATCACTACTTAGACAGATTTCACTGAGAAGCAAAGTGATCTGTCACACCAACTCAACAGTGACTTCCTCAGAGCACCTTCACTACTTCTTACCATGGTCCAAGACCAACAAACACATTAATGGTGTCTAGTGGTCTTTAAGTAAAGGCCTAACTTATGAGGTTTTACAAATTTAGAGGTAGAAGAAACTTTACAAGTCATTTAGTCAAACCTCCTCATTTTATAGCTGAGGAAACTGAGGCCAAGAGAGATTAAGTGACTTATCCAGGGTCACACAGGGGCCCTGATTCAAACCCAGGTTTTTGGACTCCAATACTCTTTTCACTACACCAAACATCTCCCCATCTAGTACAAAAAGAAAAACTTTAGCCCCCCCCCCCTTTTTTAAAAGAAGCATGAATATAACCTGACTTCCTGGTACTTGAAAATAAATAATGATAATTCCGCCCTTCAATATTTCAGTGGTATGTAGATAAGCAGGAAGCATTTTAGTCACACAGAAAATAAGCAGGAGCTGCCCAGCAACAGGAGGACAAGACAACTTGTGTTCATTCCAAGCTTGGGGCCTGAACTGCTCAGTCTATAGCCCACGTGCAATGTATCTGAGGCAGGCGCATATCACCATATGTGAGAAGAGGAATCAAGAGATACATACAAAAGACAGAGGATCCAGCCAGACTTCCAACCTTCCGCACATCATTATCTGAGGAAAGAAGTGGGAAATGTAGTCACTGGTAACTCAGAAAACACATCTTTGTACTGAATCTTACCTCTCTCTTATCCCTAGCTCCACCTAGAACCACAAAAACTGAGAAAACATACTGAGGATTAGGATGGAGAGGGGCAGGGAAGAAGATGGGGATAAACTCAAGAGTCGAACCCCTAGGTTGTCACTGGATTCAGACCCTTTGATGTTGAACAGACTGTGGTGGGGTCAGTGAGGTACCTGAGCACACAGTGGTCATGATAGCTGGCACACCGTAGTAAGTGAAGGCTCCATTCTCAAAGCGAAGGCCTTCTTTACCAACTTCTACTTCCACTTTACCCTAGGGAAAGAAGAAAGGACATAGCTTCTATCTTGTTGGTCGCAGCCTAGATGAGTTACTGGACAGAGAAGCACCTGACTTAACTAACATTAAGCAGATTCAATGTTTCTTGCATAGGTGTGAGCTCAAATAGACAGATATCAACCAGGTGCTTACTATATGCAAAGTCTAAGTTCTAGGCAGTTGCCAGACTACTGTACTAGCTGTTGGAGGGCCATGCAAAATTGAGATAAAGCACAGTACCTGACTTCATCGAGCTTATAGTCTAATAAGGGGAAAAGACATACAGATAATTATCATACATGACAATGATGAGAGTAATAATAACAGCCGATTTTATATAGCATTTTGAGGTTTACAAAGTGCTTAATACATATTATCTTATATGGTCATCACAACAAGCCTGTGAGGTAGGTGCTGTTAGTAGCTCCATTTTACAGATGTGAAAACTGAGGTTGAATGATTTGCTTAAGTAAGTGTTGGAGGCAGAATTCAAACCCAAGCCTTCCTTATTCCAACTCCATGCTATCCACTATGCCAAGTACTTAATCTACATACAGCAGTGCAGCATTCCAAATTGTCTAGGTCCTCGTGCGTTGTCCCAGTGAATCAGAGTGAGTTATACACTGCATTCCAAAAATCTTAGTGTGGTTTTAATTTTTGCTAACTTCAGAAATATAAATGCTATGAACTTACCAAAAATGTTATTTGAGAGTTCACTTATTTAAATTTCTTTTATACTTAGTTAGGTTTGTGAATTTTGAATGAGGCATTTTAAATTTTAATTTTCACAAGACAGTGCCACTTGTCATTATGCATTTTGTGTATGACAGTTTCTGCAGTGGTTTGGTAGAGGAGGACCTCATGCTCAGCCACCTCAGTCATCTGACCTAACTCCGCTAGACTTTTTTCCAGCGTGGGCTTACACCAAAACTTTCCAGTATGCATCAAAACATCATTCTTTGGATTGTCTCACCTAATGAAAGCTTTTATGAAGCTAAAAAACTAACTAGAGTGATATATAGCACAAGACTGTGGTTATGTTGAATTTTTAATAATAAACACAATAATAATTAAACTTTGCATGATTAGCTTCTCAAATGTTATTTTTTGTAAGTCTGCAGCATTTATACTTCTAGGTTATTAAAGGTTAATCCAGGATAAAACTGCACTAAGACTTTTGGGACATCTTGCATATAATATGCTACCTGCAGCCAGGTCATCTCTAAGGCAGCACTAGAGATTTGTGTCTAAATGTTCTTTTGACACCGAGGAACTGAATATAGTCCCAGAGTCTTGTCTAAGTCTGGCTCAGTTTAGTGTGGATTTTGTTTTATTATTTGAAAACGGATATATTTCTTATTAACTCATTTATTTATTAAATGGTTAATATTTGTAAGGTATTTAGCACAGTACCTGGCATGTAGTAGGCACCCTATATATGCTTATTCCCTTTCTCTCCTTCTTATTACACATTGTTGTTCAGTCATTCAGTCATGTCCAATTCTTCACGACCTCATGGACCATACTGTAAATGGAGTTTTCTTGGCAAAGATACTGGAGTGGTTTTGCCATTTCCTGCTCCACTGGTTCAAGGCAAATAGAGGTTTAGTGATTTGCCCAAGGTCACACAGCTAGCAAGTGTCTGAGGCGGGATTTAAAATCAGGTCTTCTTGACCCCAGGCTCTTATTATGTCTAGATAATGCTTTAGGGTCCTTTAAAGAACTGGAATACTTTAGAATACACCTCTTCAGTGGAGAAGAGAAGAGACCTTCTGACCAAAACTATTGATGGAGAGACAGTAGCTAAAAGGAGATTTAAGAGGAAGATTATAGTTCTGGGATGGAGATTGATCACAATGGAATGATAATATACTATATCACTACAATTATGACTCTTGTTGATGTAATCTTATTCTTCTTACCTTTTATAAAAGTGTTTAGATAGAAACTGTTATGGCATAAGTCTCTACTTTGCTATTATTCCTTTATGTTCCATGTTCCACAGACTATTGTATAGGCATATTAAAAACTTGCTTTTTGTAGTTGAATAAAATTATCAGAACGTAAGCTTATCCTCTGGAGGCTCACTGAAAACATCCTTGGTACAACTCCAATAGCAGATAGGACACAGGGGATGATATGGACCTCATCCTATCCTTATGTGGTTTTTATCTCCCCAGCCAAGTCTCTATACTTTGAAAACTCTTTATTCTATAAATCTTGGAGAATATGAATATTTGGGATGATGTTATCTATGAAAATGCTATTTTTAAGTTTTAATGCATCAGTGCTATATCCAGGAGATTGTGGACAACACTTTAGTCTGCTGTGATCATGATCTGGTTCCAATATAGTTTGTGTTGAGTTCTCCAAGATATTTCAATGCCTGTATAGACTTGTTGCCTATCTTTCTATAGAAGATAGCAAGATTCTGATGTTGTATAATTCAAGTCACACCAGGTCATGTTTTGCTAGGCATTCCACAGATGTTAAAGTTTTGCAGCCTGCAGTTACATACATAGTCTCCACCATTTTTTTTTGCACAATCTGCATAGATCATCAAGTTTGGGGTCCTTAAAGTTAATCCTTCTATAATTTCTTATGGCAATGATTTGGGCCCCTGATTGCTATCATAAAACCCTTTTATTTAAACAAGCAAATATACACAAGTCAGACATTTTTGGAAGCTTCTTTGTCAATATGTTATGGACTGAGTTCACGTAATAAACACTGCCCACAGAGAGCCTTTTAATTCTACTCTCGGATCATAATTGTTTCATGGGCACCAAGGTAATTTATTTTTGGTTACATTTGGCAAATCCATTGCTATCACATTGTGTGATAAAGTTATAATTATCATCATTATTAACAATTAGGTTAATACAACCTAGAGAGGCAGTGTGGAGTAGTGGCTAGAGGTCAGGCCTGAGAATTAGGGGTATCTGAGTTCGAGTCTTTCCTCTTACAAACCCTAATTGTTTAACCATGGGCAAGTCACTTAACGTCAGTGCCCCTCACAACTCTCTAGGACTCTTAAGTTATAGACAGTGGCCAGTCCACAGCCCTGGAAGGAATTTCCATTTCCTAATGAAATCACAGATCAAGACCTTCCCCCCTCCAAAAAATATAAGCTTAACTAGACTGAAAATATATTTGAATATTAGGGCAACAACAGATTCTAGGAACTGTCAAAATCTTGTCTAGAATTGGGTAAGGAGTGTTCAGGTCAGGAAGTCATGGAGTGAATAACACTGGCTTACAGATCTATGATTTGAAGAGAAATAAGTTCTTAAGAAGTTTGTTGAAAAGAGAACAGTTTTAACATCACTTAAAAAATAAAAATATGGTAGTAAACATTAATTCATAGGAAAAGTCAATAAAGCTTGGGTTTTCCTATGAATTATTTTTTACTACTATATTTTTTGCTATGAATAAATAAACTGTTAAACTTCTTTTAATAAATTTTAAAGAGACTTTTTCTAATTTATGTCTTCTCTTCATGTCTAATTCAAACAAATTCTCAAGTGACATGGGTTGCTTAGCTACCCATGGCTCTTGTGAGTACCTGGAGAGGCTGTAGCAACAATATTCTTAGATTAGCAAGTCAAGAGGAAACTCACACAAACAAACAATAATGACACCATGCATGTCACATTATGGGATTGCATTGCTGAGATGGATGTTCCACTGGTGGGCCTGCAGATGAACAGGGCCAATTCAGGCTCACCTCTTCAAGAGTCCTCTAGACCTTTGACATTCACTCATCCAATCCCTGGAATAATCACAGAGATGACATGGGGTTGGCCCAACTTGTTTGCTGTTGCTGATAACTTCTCCATTGGTAACTACACCTACCCATCTATCTGTCTATCCATACTTTATAATACTATGTTATTGTTCAGTCATTTCAGTTGTGTCCAACTCTTCATGACCCCATTTGGAGTTTTCTTGGCAAAGATACTGGAGCGTTTGCCATTTCCTTCTCCAAGCTCATTTCACAGATGAGGAAACTGAGACAAACAGGGCTAAGTGACTTGTCCAGAGCCATAAAGTTAGTGTCTGAGGCCGGATTTGAACTGGGGAAGATGAGTCTTCCTGACTCCAGGCCTAGCACTCTATCTACAGTGCCACCTAGCTGCCCCTATACAGTGCTACAATATCATCCTAATGTCAATGTAAAGTAAAGCAATAGTGATTACATACTATTCCTTTTATTTGTAAGAGAAGATAGAATTAATAATTCCATCATAACATGACGCTAAAGATTAAAATAGGGCTCTCCTACTTTAAAGGCAGAGAAACCAGCTTGAGACATTTGCCTAAGGTCTCAGGTATCTTTGGTCTAGAGCTGTAAGGGACCTTAGAAAGACCATCTGGTTCAACCTCTTCATTTCATGGATGGGGAAACTGAGGACCAGAGAGCTTATGTTGCTTGCCTAAGGTCACAAGGTGAAGTCAGAATTTAAACCAAACCTGGAGCCATAATCAAATGCATACTTTCACAGCTACTGGAAAGGATGCGTCACTGGCCTCCTATGACCCCACTGACCACCCCTCTAACTTTGGAAACCAAACTACTCCTCCCCAGCTACTTATCACCCTATGAATGTCATCGCCCTCTTTAGAATATGGAATCCTTGAGGGCAGGGACTGTCTTAGCTTTTGTATTTGTATCCCCAGTACTTTGCAAAATGTTTGGTATATAGAGAGTGCTTTATAAATTTTTCCCCCATTCATTTGTTCATTAACTGACTCCAAATGTAGCACTTTTCACTGAATCACAAAGCCTCCTTTCCCTTCATGCCAAGCGAGTGGCTACAAGGGATTTTTCTGATTATGAAACCCTCAAAAGTTTCTACTGGTTTGACAAATAAAGTATGCACACCCCAATCCCAACATCCAAGGCCCTCCATGATATGGCTATCCAGTCCTATCTCATACAAATCCCCCTTGCACCACCACCCTCCTTTCCTATCTCGTCCCTTCCTTTCTGTGTCTTGGTCTTGGATCAGCCTGTCTCCCATGCCCAGAAGGGAGTCTTCACACTGCCTCCTTCAATCTCTGTCAAAATGCCTCCTCAAGGGTCATCTTACCCATGAACTCTTCCCTGACCCTTCACCTTACACCCTTTCCCCCTACCCTTTCAACACAGGGTGAACATGTTTCTCCCTCCTCAGAATTCCCACAATACTCTGCCTGGTTATCTCCTCTGCATTTACCTCACTCTTCCTTCCGTCATGGTTATTTGTATGTTTGTTTGTTTGTTTGTTTTTAGGCAATTGGGGTTAAGTGACTTGCCTAGGGTCACACAGCTAGTAAGTGTCAAGTGTTTGGTCTGAGGCCAGATTTGAACTCAGGTCCTCCCAACTTCAGGGCTGGTGCTCTATCCACTCTGCCACCTAGTTGATCCGAATCATGGTTATTTGTACATACATCTTTCCCTTCTTTACACTATGAGCTCCTTGAGATTGGGGACTGTGCTTCATCTATCCTTGTGTCTCCAACATTGAACACAGTGCTTGGCATATTTAATAAATGTCGAATGAGTGAACTCTTAAACCTATATGCTGTGTCTCTGAGCATCCAGCTATGATACAAGGACTCCTGACTTCAGGGAATTATCCCTTTTATACACTGTCCTCTCCCACTTGAATGCAATCTCCTTGAGGCTGGGGACTGTCCTACTTGCTTGTTTTTCTATCCCCAATGCTGCTTAGCATAGTACCTGATACATAGTAGGTGCTTAAGGGATGCTGTACATGTGTCTGTACATCCATCTCTTCATCTATCTATTATCTATCTATCATATGTCTGAAATTCTATTATCTGCCTATCTATCATTTATCTGCCCATGTCTATCTATCATCTATCTGTCCATCTGTCTATCTTTCATCTATATGTCTACCTGTCTATCTATCATCTATCTGTCCATCGGTCTATCTATCTATATCAGGAACTTGAGCTATCATGGGAATGGTGGCCACTGACACAATTCAGTGGGTATCATGAGAAAAACTCTATTATCCTCGGCTCTACCTGGGAACAGGTAGATTCCACCAATTGGGAAACAGTCAACCAAATGGAGGAATATTCATGCAATGGAATATTATTGTCCTACAAGAAATGATGAATATAAAGACTTCAGAAAAGCTGGTGAAACTGAGAAGAAAAGAATATACCAGAAGGCTTTGTGATTATTATGACCATGCTTGGCCCCAGAGAAGAGATGAGGGAATGAGGACTTAGATGGCCTTTGAGGTCCCTTCCAGCTCTGAACCTGTGAATCTATGAACCTCCCTCCATTTTTGTTGTTGTTGCTGCTGCTGCTGTAGAAGTGGGAGAGTACGGGTATGGAATATTCCATATACTATGTGGAAATGTATTTTTAAAAATATAATTGTAAAACTGAAAATATTATGGAAATAATATTCTCCAGCCTACAACCCTTTCCAGACTTTTCTCTTGGAAAAATAAGAAGAACAAAGCCCTTAGTTTTTCCCTATGAAATGGAGTAAGGGTTATAATCAAACTTCTTTTGTTTAGATGAAATTGCCCCCAGTGATTGGTGCCAGTACCCAACTGGGGAGACTATCTTTTCTCTTGAAAATCTAGGTTAAGGGCAGCTAGGTGGTGCAGTGAATAGAATACCGGCCCTGGAGTCAGGAGGACTTGAGTTCAAATCCAGCCTCAGACACTTGACACTTACTAGCTGTATGACCCTGGGCAAGTCATTTAATCCCATTGCCTAGCCAAAAAAAAAAAAAGAAAAAGAAAAAGAAAATCTAGGTTACAATACTGATCACAAGAAAGAACTCCTAAGGGGAAGTGGTCCAGGAAAGAAATTCCAGACTATTCTGGAATATTATTACATGTTAACAAATTATCACCTTTTTCTTTGTTTAAGTTTTCTATAAATGTTACCTCAATATTGTCTTGGAGCAGAAACATGTCAGAAGGCATGGGAAAATGTTGCTATTTTGAATCTCTCTCTCTCTCCCTCTCTCTCTCTCTCTCTCTCTCTCTCTCTCTCTCTCTCTCTGTGTCTCTCTGTCTCTGCCTCTGTCTCTCTCTCTGTCTTTGTCTCTGTTTCTCTCTGTCCCTCTCTCTCCCTCTTTGTCTCTCTTTCTGTGTGTGTCAGAAATAACTCAGAATTAGAATAATCTTAAAATTGTTTTTAGCAGACTGGTGCCTAGACACAGAATCGAGCGTTAACCTTTTAATAGGGAAGGTATCGGCTAATTTTGCTGCTGCCTTTTCTCTATCCTTTTTCTCTCTGTTAAAAGTGAGAAAATATGTTTGGACAGTAAGAATGTAACATAAAAACAAAGTTTTTTTAAAGTAACATTAAAAACCAAATGCTGACTGAACTGAATTAAATTCTGCCCTGTGTAAGGTGCAATCATTGCTGCTGAGCCTGAAGGGCTCCCCTCATGCACTGATTACTCCACAGGAATGGAGGGGCCTCCTTTGCCTTCTTGGTCTATTCACCTGCAAAAGGAGCACAAAATAATCCACGGGGCGGTTGCGCTGGTAGAGGTAGTGCTCGGGTGCTTTCTTGTTCTTTTCATCAAATTTCAGCTCTTGGATCACGTTGGGATGTTTCAGGAGCCGAAGCAGGATCTTCTCCGAAAGGTACAGAGACTTAAAGGGTTCCACTTCTGGAAGAAAGGAGGCTGGGCTAAATTAAGCATGAGTAGGGCAGAGATATCCCATTTGGCCCCAGCACTGATCCCAGAAGGAGTCAGGGCTAACAATTTCAGCACCATTGGATATGGACTGCACAACAAGTCTGTACAACCACAGTCCTGTTTCTTTGGTTACCCCTGACAGGCCAGTCACAAAAGCACTGGACCCTAAATTGATACGTATGTGCAGGTCCCCCTAGACATTCACTTTGGGGTGTATGACAAGCTGGAAATACAGGTCCCTAGGTTATGACCACAGAAGAAATAGCCCACCTTAGCAAAAAAAAAAGTGAGTGTCACCATCAAAAGACCCCCTGGAACTCATCTGTTAGTGTAGAATCAAGAAGACCTGAGTTCAAATGCGGCCTCAAGCATTTACTAGCTGTGTGACCCTGACTAAGTCAGTTAACCTCACTCAGCCTTAGTTTTCTCATCTGTAAAATGGGGATAATGATAAAACCCACCTCCCAAGTTTGTTGTAAGGATAAAATTAGATAATATTTGTAAAGTGCTTTGCAAACCTTAAAGCACTATGTAAATTATAGCCATTATCATCATCATCATCATCATCATCATCATCATCATCATCCTCATCATTAATTATTATTACTAGCTAGGTTACAGCTGTGTTATTCCAAATTCAGTGGAAGGCCTGCAAGTATTCTCAGCACCTTTTAAATGTGGTGCCCCTGGACAAAGTTCCAGTCACCCCACCCTAGTTCTGGTTTCAGTAGTTTCTGTTCCAGCAGCTACCCATGGCTGCACTTCCTGGGAGCTAGGCAGGGGGAAAATCTTCTGCTTTGACCTCTTAATAGGAAAATTTTGCTTTTCCTTGGAAAAGCAGAGGCAATAGTCACAGTTTATAGCACTCTACAAAGCACTTTCCTACCTACCCTGAGAGGTTAGTAATACAGGTATTTTATCCCCATTTTGCAGATGAGAAAACTAGGACTCTGAGAGTTTAATTATGTGACCTATCCATGGTCCAGTGTCCAGTGAGTATCTAAAGCAAGATTACAGACCAAGCATCTTGACTCAAGTCCAGCAGCTCTAATCATCAAACCATACTACCCCTCGAAGGGACTTGAACAGAAGTCATGTGATTGGCCAAGGAGCACAATGAATGAGCACACATTACTATTAGAATTGGCAGCCCCTTTCTGCCAATTACTGTGGCTCATCCCAAAGCAGCCTTTGATGTGGAGGACTCAGAGGGACCTGGTGCTCCAGAGAGACAGACGTACCTGTGGCCATAAATCGATGTGTTGCCAACAGAAGCTGTGGGGAAATCTTCACTTTCATTTCGGAGTCTGAAAGCTTGAAAAGGGAGAAATCGTGTCTCTTCCTCTCCCGATGAGGGACCTGCTGCTTTTTCCGATTGTCTGCTAAAGAACCACAAGGAGACAAAGGATGTGTGTACCAGCATACAGGGCAAACTCCACCTGTCTCACCAACAGGTCCGGTCCTTGAGAAGTTACATACAAACCTCTTGCAATGGAAAACAGACAAATGACATTACTTTACCATATTCAGGTGCAGTGGGAAAAGCACAGAATTAGGAGGTAGAGGGCCTGAGTTGAATCTTGGCTCTTGCACTTAATAGCTATGTGAGCCTAGGCAAGTCATATCATCTCTGGATTTCAGCCTCCTCATCTGTAAAATAAGGAAGTTCAACCACATGGTCTATAAGACCCTTGACAGCTCTAAAACTCTGATCTTATTTCTTTGGGTATAAAATGGGATAAAAGATGGGAGAGGAACCCAAAGCCTATGTGATTTCTAATAACAGGTTTACCATCAAGTACAAGGAGGTCAACTTTAGAAACTAGTTACTTTTCTTCCCATCTCCTAGAAAGATCTTTCAATCATACCCTACATGGTATTTTGTGAGCTTCCTTTTAACTCAGAGGAAAAGGTATCAGGCCCAGCTGAGGCTCACCCACTATAGATGATGCAGAGTTGAGGAGCAGATATCTCCCAACAATCCTCTGCTACAGCTGTTTTTTAGACCCTCCTCTGATTCTGGTGTCCTTGACCTTGGTTCCTTGACCTTCACCAAACAAATTCTTTTGATCTGAATCTTTCAGTATGCTGCCCTGGGATTCCCTTTTCACATCACATGGATTGAATCCTTGCCAAGACCCTGGCTTAGAAAGGGGGAATGTAGTAAGTTGAATCAATATAGGATACCCCACACTCATGTTTCCCTCTATACCACTTTTGTGGGTAAACTTCCTGTCCAGACCATGACTTGAACTTGAACTTCCTATGACTGACCCTCACTTTTGATTTTAGAGGTTGATACCCCCAATACTGCTATCAGGGCCATCCTCTCCCAGACTGTGCACTTGTAATAAATGCTTCAATGACAACAACAACAATAACTACTACTACTACTACTACTACTACTACTACTACTACTGCTACTGCTAGTACTACTTCTTCTTCTTCTTCTTCTTCTTCTTCTCCTCCTCCTCCTCCTCTTCCTCCTCCTCTTCTTCCTCCTCCTTCTTTTTCCATCACCCTGGTTCTTTTCCTAAAATACAAGTCTAAAGGCAAGTTGGCAGCAGAGCTGAGATTGAAGAAACCAATACCTAGATAGGGTCCTCCCTCCTGGGAAGGAAATTCACAACTCAGGGTCTATTATATCTCCATCCTTGCCTTTACATATCCCAGATGGAAAGCTAGACAGCAGAACACAGCTATTTTCTGCCATAGCAGGGTAGCCTTCACTTAGGTAGCTGCCTAAAGTACAACACATGGGAGCAAAGGATGGATATACTGTGAGAGCCTTTTTACTATTACTTTGTATAAGTACGCATATTTTTAGTTCTGGAAAACTCTGCTCTCCATGGCACGTAGAGATTGTTTAAAAAATAATAATAGTAAGTTGCACCTTTTTCAGGGAAGGTTTCTAGTCTCAGGTGAGAAAAGTGGGCCTGGGATAACAATTTCAAGCCTCACACTCAAATGCCTCATCTCAGCTCTGGCCAAAATGGGTCATTCTACAAATATGAGGGTAGGGTGTTGGGGGGTGCCTCACCTCGCCTCTTAGAATCCAGAGAACATTAAAGCACAGTCTAAAGGCACTGGTTCTAATAAGACTCTAGCAGCAGAAAAGCTAATTTCATTAATGCTGTCTTTGCCCCCTTGCTTTGTCCCTGAATATTGCTTCCCTGAAGAAATTCCTACCCCAACAGAATTCAGCATTAAGAATGGAGAGAAGCCAGTCATGATGGCCTTTGAATTCTGGCACCACCACCGGCTAGGAGCCCCAAATCTGTCAGTGTGTAATTAGATCACTGGAAGTTAGAGGGGCAGCTCGGTGGTACAGGATAGAGCACTGGCCTGGAGTCAGGAAGACCTGAGTTCAAATCAGGCTCAGATCCTTAGTGGTTGTATGACCCTGGGCAAGTCAGTTAACTTCTTTTTGCTTCAGTTTCTTCATCTGTAAAATCAGGATAAAAATAGCACCTGCCTCCCAGGGCTGTTGTGAGGATCAAATGAGATATTTGTAAAATATTTAGCACAGTGCCTGGCACATAGTAAGTGCTATATAAATTTTAGCTATTGTTAACTATCATTATTACTTGGAGTCCCTGTAGTCGGCCCAGACTAAGGGTTCTAAGCCCATTTTGTGTCATGGACCCCTTTTGGCAATATCTAGCAAAACCTTTGGTAACCTTCTCAGGATAAGGTTTTTAAAAATTTTTTTTAAATTTTAAATTAATTCATTTATTTTCAGTTTTCAACATTCACTTCCACAAGCTTTTGAGTTTTAAATTTTCTCCACCTCCCTCCCTTCCCTCCTCCCCAAGACAGCATGCAATCTGATATAGGCTCTACATATACATTCTTATTAAACATGTTTTCACATTAGTCATGTTGTAAAGAAGAATCAGAATGAATGGGAGGAACCATGAAAAAGAAGAAACAAAACAAAACCAAAAAAAAAGAGAGAGAGAGAGAGAGGAAATAGCATTCTTCAATCTGCATTTAGACTCCAGGGTTTTTCTATGGATGTGGATAACATTTTCCATCATGAGTCTTTTGGAGTTGTCTTAGATCCTTGTATTGCTGAGAAGAGCTAAGTCTATCACAATCAGTCATCACACAGTGTGGCTATTACTGTGTCCAACATTCTCCTGGTTCTGCTCACTTCACTCAGCAAAAGTTCATATAAATCCTCCCAGGTTTTTCTGAAGTCTGCCTGCTCATCATTTCTTATAGCACAATAGTATTCCATTACTTTCATATACCACAACTTGTTCAGCCACTCCCCAACTGATGGGCATCCCCTCAATTTCCAATTCTTGGCCACCACAAAAAGAGCTGCTATAAACATTTTTGTACATATAGGTCTTTTCCCCATTTTTATGATCTCTTTGTAGTACAGTCCTAGAAGTGATATTGCTGGGTCAATCAGAATAAGGTTTTTAAATGCACAAAATAAAACAGAAGATTACAAAGGAAACCAATTTTTTACCATTAGAGAATGGCATAATTACACCATCAGAGAATGTGGAAGACTCTCTACCTGAAATCATACTGAAACATAGCTTTCAAAATAATTTTTAAAAGTTTACAGCCCCGAGGTTAAGAACCCATGACCTAGATCTCGAACCAATGGCAGATTAAAATGGACTCCTCTGCTTCTCCCAACAATACTACATTTTTTCCCCTAGCTGTTTTTCCTTCTACATACACTGTGTCCTTGGGAAACAAAATCTTCAGGTTGTTTTGAAGTTAAAAATAAAACCTAAGCCTGTGGGTTCCCAGAAGAAGCCACTTCCTCTATCACTCCTAAAGCCTCAGAATCTTATAACAATCTAGCCACCATTAGAGGTGGTTGAGGGCATTTGTCAATATCAGCAGTAGGAGCCATTACCCAAGGTCATCTATAAATGGGTCACTCCCTCCCAGAAAGGAAATTTACAGGCAGGGGTCTATTCCCCTCCATCCCTGCCTTCACATACCCCAGAGGGGAAAGGAAATAGAGGGCTAAGGCTTTGTCATAGCAGGCTAGCCAGGAGCCATCAGAGAATGTAGAAGACCCCTGACCTTGTGAAAGGGGGTTTCATTGGCCACACATCTGTCATTAAATATTCTAGTCTGCTCACACATTCTCCTTTGAGGACGGAAAACACAGAAACAAACTCAACCATTCCCACCATCCATAGAAGCTCGACTAGACAGAATATTACCTGATGGTTCTCAACATTGCTTATTCCATACCAGTCATAGCAACACAGACTAAAAGTTGGAAGGAATCTTAGAGATTATTGAGTGCAACCCCATCATTTGACAGATGAAGAAGCTAATACCCAGAAAGGAGTAGTGAATTGCCCAAGGTCATATAGATAGCAGAGTCAGTTTTTGAACTCAGGCCCTCAGACTCCAAATCTACTCTTTCCCACTGTTTCAACTTACCTGCTTTGTGAGGAATACTGCAAGCAAGCCCCAGACCCTGGGTAAGAAACATCCTCACACATCTCTTATCTCACCACACAGAGTGGAAAGACAAGCACCCATAGGGCTTCCCTGGTGTCCAGCCTTTCCTCACCTTCTTTCATCCACTCTCTCCTCTCATGCTGGAAGGCACACTCATCAAAACCAGTGATTCTTCTTCCATGTTCTAATGCTTCTAGTGCCCTGGACAGTTTCAATCTGCCATATTCTCAACTCTTCCAGCAATGAGCCTATGTAAATCCAATCCAACAAGCTCTCAGCACAGTGCCTGACACACAGTAGGTGCTTAATCAGTGTTTACTGACTGATGTGTTTGGTACCTACTCTGTGTTAGGCACTGTGGTACAGAATTTTGATTACTTGCTCTCTGTCCCACTTTACTCTGAGATGGTGAGGACTGGAGGACAGAAGTAGAGAATGTTCGCTACATCCTACATGTAGCGGCACCTGTGTCTCTTCTCCTCATAGCCCTACAGCAGCTTAACATCTAGGCAATGTGGAGCCAGTACACACACAACAGCCAGGTCTTTACTCAGGACAAGGACTCAATGGGAAGGTCTCCACTGGAGCTGTCCCACAGCTGTTCCAGACATCACTGTAGTTCTGAGCAGCTGCATTCAGTGGCATGATGGTAAATGTTTAACAACTGGTTCTTCAGGAAATTTTTAAAAATGTACACACAACACACTATTAAGTTTAATCTTCATTATTAACATTTTCTTCATCATTTTCCTAAGTTTGAACAATCAACAAAACAAGAAATCAAGTCCTGATCACTCCTGACTCCAAGTCCAGTGCCCTATTCACTAAGCCATGCTATCCCAATACCTAAAAAGGGAACTCACTAATCCTCAATATGTCATACAGGTGATTTACACAATAAATTGTATTGATGCTTTTTGGTTTTAGATCATAGTCATTTCTGGAGTAATCCACCCCTTACTCCTTCTCCCTTCCCCCCACAACTGAATACTACCTTAAAATAAACCCTCCTTCTCAAAAATAAAAAAAGGTAAATAAAGCAAAAATAAATAATTCAGTGACCATGTTTGACAATGCATACGACATTCTGCCTCCAAGGTCCCTTATCTCTCTGATGAAAGAAGGGAGGGCATTTCATTATATATTGTCTAGGACCAATTACTCAAAGCTTGGTTTCCTTTTAGTATTCTTTTCATTTACATTATTGGTAGTCATTGAGCATATTGTTCAAAGGTGATTATTATTACATTACATTAATGACACCTCAGGGGAAAACTCAAATTGGGCCAGGATCTGCCTCGGAAACATGGCCAATATAGCCATGTGGACATTGTCCAAAGTTGAAGAAACAATCCAGGCCGACACTTTTCTCAAATTGACTCTCTTTTCACGGAGGTTCCAAGGGGACTAATAGAAAATAGAGATAAAAGCAAACATTCAGCTCTTACTGTACAGGTCAGTTTCATCCAGGATCTCTGATTTGATGATCTCCTCTATGATATCCTCTAGAGTAACGATGCCCATCACCTCGTAAAAGGGATCTCCTTCTCCCTCATTATTCACCCTCTGGACGATGGCTAGATGAGATTTTCCTGTTGAGGCAAAGAAATTCGAAATGTAGTCACATTGATTTGAGGCTCCAGGAGAGTTGCTTAAATTATCCTGCTGTCAAGAAGTAGCACACAGTTTTTATTTTGGTCAGGTGCTCACCAGGCTTTACTTTTTAAATTTTTTTAAATCAATCAATCAATCAAGAAGCAGTTATTAAGTGCCTACCATGGGCCAGTTACAGGGCTAAACTCTGGAGACTCAAAGAAAGACAAAAACTACTCCCTGACCCCAAGGAGCTCAATTACGTTACAAACAATTACAGATTATCCTCCTCCACCCCCACTCCAGGACAAGTCTCTAGGAACAAAGTGAAGCAATTAAGTAAAACTAACAATACAGTAACCTCATCTGAAAATGCATGCAACATTTCATTTCTGTAGCTGTAAAACAAAACAAAACAAAACAAGACAAAACAAAACAAAAACGATCCTATGCTTTCGTGCTCATTGAAGTCCTGATCTGAAATAAATGATTATACATATTAACCCATTTTGAACCCTCTTCGCATATGGTAGTTTTCGTGGAAGTTATTCTTTTCTATATTCTTCCACACAGCATGACTCAATGCAATGAGTGCTAGATGTGCCATCCAAGGACCTGGATTTAGGTAGGAGTCAAACCTTTTAAACCCTTGACTCTTTCTCCAACAACCTTTCCAGTTGAAGACCAGAATTCTTTATGCTAAAATTTTCTGCTTCTAAGAAAAGGTTGAGACCAATATCCCAGGCATCATGTCTGCAATATCTGGGTTCCCTGAGAGCAGGACCACAATTAGCTTTGCTTTTCCCTTCTGTCTAGACAAATTACCCTTTCAAAAATACAAGTCTAGTGGCAGATATTTACAACAGTACTGAACCTAGGGATAGTGGCTTAAGGTACAACACTTGGTGGGGGGCAGGGAAACATTTTAATATTAATTTTTTATAAATGCACAATTTTTAATGCTAGAAAAGTCTGCTCTCTGTGGCACATGGGGATTTATTTAATGCTAAGTCACATTTGTTCTATGAAAACCTTCTAGTCGCTAGCAATAGGATGCACCTATGGGGTGTGATTTTTCAAAACTTGCAGGCCTAGGGTGTACAAATGCCTTGTCCCAGTTGTGGTAGGCAGTGCCATTCCCTGGATGTAGGTTGTTTCCTTACTTTGTCCAAAATAATCCAGAGATCATTGGAGGTAAATACAGTAAAGTAAATAAAGGTACTTGTCCAAATATGAATCTAGCAGGAGAAAAATGTCAAGTTCTACAGTTTAAAGCCCTTTTAAGTGGTTGGCCAAGGAAAATCCATAAAAACGGAAACCATAGATGTGGAAAAGGCCAGAGCAGTTAGGGACAAAATGAGAAGTGACCATTTACATATATGAACACCCCTGCCAGAAGAAATTCTGGCCATTGTCTGTTTCTGTTGGGACATAACGCCTGTCCCACTTTCCAGTCTGAAACCTAAACATGAAGATAAGAAAAGTTTCATGTCAGAAACAATAAGGAATAAATTAAGGTAGGAATTGAGAGCTCTAAAAGAAGATATTTTATGACTTTTGATGCAAATGTCTCTGTACCTACATTATTCTTTATGGTATAGGAGAAAGAGCACCAGATCTCTGGGTTCGAATGCTAGCTCTGTCACTTGCTGCCTGAGAGATCTCAGGGAAGTCAGTGAACCTCTCTGGAGCCTCAGTTTTTTCATCTATGAAATGGGAAGATTGGGCTAGACACATTCTAAGGTTCCCTTCCAGCTCTGAATCAGTGGTCTCCTTTATCTCCTTTACTAGACTTTAAGTTTTAGAAAAACAGAAACTATGATTTCTTTGCATCCCTAGATCCTAACATAGGCCCTTGCACATAGTAGGGCTCAGTAAATGTCTCATGAACTGAAAAATTCTATGTTAAAAAAAAATCAGAAAGTGATTTTCCTTAGTGATTTTTTTTTAAAAAGTCATACTTTGGGGCAGCTAAATGGTGCAGTGTATAGAGCACTGGCCCTGGATTCAGGAGGACCTGAGTTCAAATCCAGCCTCCGACACATAACACTAGCTGTGTGATCCTAGGCAAGTCATTTAAGCCCATTGCCTAGCAAAAAAAATAAAAATAATAAAAAAAGTCACACTTCTATGGGGGAGGCAAAAAGGGAGGATGATGGGAAAAGGTGATATTCCATTGGGAGGAATGAATTCTACATAAAAACCAAAGATTCAAAAATAATAAATCAGTCCTGGCTTATGCAGTCTGTTGTACAAAGGTCCAGTGAGTGGGTGAACAGTATATAGTCACAGCCTAACCCAAACGAGGTGTAAGAGTTCCATCTGGTGGCAATCTTTGGTGATGGCAATGGGGAAATGATGGTCCCCACACATCTGAGTGGTAAACTTGGGTCTCTGTCGACTGGATTTGGAAAGGTCCTAGGACCATGAACTGTGGCCCTTGGACCCGCAATTCCTTCGATCCTTTATTGAACTAGCTTGCCAGATACATTTTACAAGTATTTAGAACTGGAACATGTTGGTGTCACATTGGTCCTAATTTTGCAAGCATCTTCATTTTCCTTTGGGTAGATGCTGCTTTAAAACACAAATTATTGATCTTCCTATCTATAACGTTTGTATCTTTATCCTTAATGGCAATAATGGGGGAAGTGGCTTGAATCCTGACTGTGCCCTTTTCTCTCTCCTTTCTTGGGATGGTCTGAGAAATTAGCTCTTGAAGCAGAAACATTTATAGGTATGGATGGGAACAGTGGTTCTTCTAGCTGTGTGAAAACCAGCAGAATTTCAAAAAAGCGTCCCCAAGAATATAACTGCATTGATTTCAGCTTCCCCCCACATGATGACTGAGAGTATCCCCGGAAAAGAAGGCTGCTGTTTAAATAATTTAGAACCACATAAAGCTGGGGCAGAGGCCCAAGAATCACTTTTTTCATTTCACCAAGATCTTTTTAGTTCTGATGTATCTATAATTAAAGCTACCTTTGGCATAGGACCATGAAATGGAAAGCACCATGATTTTATGACTGTGAGCCTTTTTCACTTCTCTGTGGAAGTCTAAATACCTAATTTTTCCTGAGACAGGCTATCTGTGCTCTAGATAGGTCTCTTCCCCTACATGGCACCCCCTCATTTTTTTGGAAACTCCTTGACTCAGAAACTTCCATGATGAAAACTTCTATCTCCTATGTACCTGGCTAGATATCAGAGGTGGGGAACCAAAGAGTATTCACCTGAATGAAACCCCAGTTTCCTCTACATCTCTGCAGGTAGTCCCTGACATAGAGTGATAATACATCAGACACTCCCATCATCAAACCCAAGATGGATGGCAACCCTCTAGTAATATCCATGTTGTAGCCATTCTCTACTCCTTGCCCAATCCTTCTTCAGACATATCAGATGTTTCCATGGTTTGGGGATGGGTACTATCCCTAATGCCTTTCCCTCATTGTCCTGGCCTCCATTTACAAGTTTCCAACCTTGGGTATCTCCAATTAAGCCACATATCCCTTCCTAAATGTGCCATATAAAAGCCTATTGTTCTGCATTGAATGGCTGGCCTAATTCTACAATGCAATTTAATTAGACAAGCATTTATGAAGCACCCATTATGTGCCAGGCACTATGATGGATGCTAGGAACACAAAGAAAAAAAAAAACTCAGACCCTGACAGTCAAGGAATTTATGATCTACTCCTGACTCCTAAGTGTAACATACTCTGTACTGGGTCCTCTTCTCTTTTCTCTTTATAATTTCTCTCTTAAAATGCTCTCATCAGTTCCCATTCCTTCAATTTTCTTCTCTGCACACAATTGCCACATGTGTCTATCTAATCTCTCTGCTAAACTTCAGTCCTACCAGGTCTGTCTTTAAATCCCAGGATAATAGCTACTTCATACAAATGGCACACTCCCAGGAAACTCCAAGGATCTGGTTTCGATTGAGGGTCAAGTCAAGAGTTAGCTAGTCTTTGCTGGTCATTTCTTATTGTGGCTCCAATGGTTCATTTAAAATACTCTCTAGACACATCCTCAGACCATTGTGACAAAAGGCTCTTCTCTGGCACTGGAGAATTTCAAGTGAGTTAAGAGGGTGACTTTCTTTCACTGCTTTGGAAGAGCTGAATGAGGCATTGTTACTCTGACCCAGAATCCAATGTGAAAATTGGCTACAGTATTATACTAGTCTCTCTTGTAAATTTAAATGGTCTTCCTGTTTATTTTATTTTTTTAATGTGTTTTGCTGATAGATGTACCTATTATTCATTCATCTGATACAAGATGGGGCGGGCAAATCCCTGTGCTAAGGATGCTGGGAACAGTCATGCCTCTGTTAGAAATGAGGAAGACGTCCAATGAGAAGGCCCATCCCACCTCAATAAATCCTCCCAACCCTGGAGAAAAAACCAGGCCCTGTTAGGTATCACTTCTGCTCAATTTGAGCAACTGTGTGGTTTCTGTGCACTGTTGCTCTTGAATTCTAGGACCAAAGCTTATGGGGATTCAGGCTTCAGGGTTTGTGGTTCTAAAGATGAAGGAGTCTCACATAATCTGTAGCTAACCTTCAACATCAGCCCAAGAGCCACTTGCACCTAAAGCCTTTCCTGACTCCACATCTGGTGCTCTAGCCACTGAGTCATACAAGTATCCTCTGGTACTCTCTATTTTGGACCTAGAACTGTGTTCATAGTTTCTTCCTATGTAGTATCTTAATAAAAAGAACACTGGACTTGGCCTTAGCAGATCTGGATTCAAGGGCAACTAACTATGGACTGTAAATATGTGACCCTGAAGAAGAAATGTCACCTCAGTATTCTTATCTATGATATAAATGAATGAATGAACAAAAAATTTTTTTTTTGCTAAGCATTTACTATATATTACCAGGGATGGGGAACCTGCAGCCTTGAGGCCACTCTCTAGGTCCTAGTATGTGGCCCTTTGACTGAATCCAAGATTTGTTCTGTGAAGTTTGGATTCAGTCTAGGTGTGACCT